GAGGTCCCTTCCAACCCAGCTGATTCTGGGATTCTCTGATTCTCTATGAATCCATGATCCTATGATCCTAAGGCTTCTTCAGAACTCCCCCAGCTTTCGAACCTCTTGCCCGGTTTCTGTCAGATATTATCAGAAAGGTTGTGGAGCATCAAAGGTGCAGTTCCAGCAGGTTTTTGGATGAAATCTCGATTGATCCCTCACTGGAAGAAAGGGTGAAGAGCTCAACCATGTTATCAGGCAGCAGAGAAGTTACCAGCAGGTCAAGCCTCAGGAAACCAGGTTGTTTAAATGGCACTGCCCACAGAGTGCACGTGTGCATCCATAGAAAAATATAAATAGCAAAATATACTCAGTTGGAGCACAGGAGGGCAACTATTTGTTGGGTAGAATGTAGCAGACAAATACCTATAAAATACTGAATAGGAAAGTTCAACAGATTTAATAATTCTTGGTCGTGTAGACTTAGGCATCATAGCAAAAATCTGGTTGTTGTTTTTTTTTCCATGATAATTGAAGTTGATTATTTTCTTGATACTTTAAGTGTTAATAACTAGTGTAGCTGCTTCCATAAATGAGAATTTCTCCTCTAAATACCTTCAGCTTGCACTTGGCCAAACCCTAAGAAATGCAGACATGGAACATCAAGCCCAGGAGACTGAAAAGTGTGAAATCCTGCAAACTAAAAGCAGGGGAAGATGTAATTCTGTCAGAACCAGGAACAGCAGCAAGAGCAAACAGCCTCAGTATTATCAGGGTCATGTTGTATCGAGTCCTTCACAATTATCAAGTGCTGAGGTGGAACCTCTGATGAAAAGCACAAAGGGTCAAGTCATGTGAAAAACAGAGAGTGGGTGGCTGTAGGGACTTCAAAGGTATAAGGAGAATAATTATTCATGTAAAACCAGACCTCAGAAGGTTTATCAGGGCATCAGAAATGGGCAATCAGTTACAGAAAGACATGTGCTCCTGTTTTATATGTGAGATGTTGCCACAGAAGGATGAAGATTAACCCCTTGCCTGTGGTTGTACAGGAAAAATAGACAGGGAAATAGGTCTTACAGGTTCTAGTCATGTCCTTTAACTGCCAGAACACAACACTCTCCTAAAAGATGGAAACAACAGTGATCCCAGTATTGTATCCATGCCCCCAATATTTAATAAACAATCAAATATTTATGCTCAACATGATTATACTTGAGTTCTCTTTTACTTTTTTCTTCTTTAAAGAGTCACAGGAAGACTGTTTGAAGAGGAAAATGATAAACTGTTGAAGAGATGAATATAAAAATTAGGTATACATTTCAAGGGTAAATCTAAATGCCACAGTGGAGCTGTTATGGGAGCTCATAATGTGTATTTATAATGGGCTCCTGCAAAGTGTGCTGTGCTGGCACTGCTGCAGTTACGGGCCTGTCAGCATTTCCACTCCTCAGGGTTATCACTCAGGGTGCTGCAGCTCAGCCATCAAACTCCTCTCATCACCAGAACGGGTTGTCTGGACTTTTCCATAAGGTTCCCAGCTGGAAAACGTCTCGTAAGAGCGAAGCCAAGGGGATCCTGGAGAGAACAGCCCAAACCTGCAGAAATGGCTCGTTAGGTGCTAATGGCAGCTGCTGTGCTTAAGTATATCCTTAAAATACTTGAAATGAGAGATAAAGGGTGCATTTTTAAATCCCCACAGCTAAACTTTCAGTCCCCTTGTGCACCCTGATCCGCGAGAACGCAGGTTGCACAGACCCGTCTCGATGCTCTGAATCACTTCTCTCCCATCAGCTGTTCCTACAGCAATAAGGCATTTTTTTTTTCTCTGCTGGTAATCTTTCAGTAGCCTCCTATTCTGCTTTTAATACTACACAAATTCAAATTCTCTGCTGCTGTAAGTAGTTCCATTATAGTTCCCCTGACTTTAATAACACGTCGGTTTACGCCAGCTGAGGGCATGTCTTGCAGGCTTTCATATCTCAGGTTTGATCACAGCTCTGCATTTACCTTGTCACAGGGATGCTAACCTGGAAATGTGTATATCAGGGAGATTTGGAACATAATTTTCCTTGCTTGAGCAGAAATCCTCCAGGGGTTCCCTTGTCAGAGCAATGCAATATAAAATCATCTGTGGGAAAGGCTGGGCTCGGGGTTGTGCTGTATCAGACTCTGTGCTGGGCTCCAAGGATAGGAAGCTACTGGTTTGCTACAGCTTGTGAGTAGATTTGAGGAGGTCTTGTGAGAAACAACACTCCCAAGGATGCAGAGAGCTCTGCAGGTTGGAAGGGTGAGTGCCCTTGTTCAGAACACAGCTGAGGTGACAGCAAACATGTGCTCCTGCCACTGCCTTAACCTGGGAGAGACACGGGGAATAAGAGATGTAAAAGCACCTGAAGGGGCCTGCAGGGAAGCCAGAGAGGGATTCTTCATCAGGAACTGGAGTGATGGGTTCAAGCTGAACCAGGGGAAATTCAGGTTAGATATATGAGGGTGGTGATGCCCTGGCACAGGTTGCCCAAAGAAGCAGTGGCTGCCCCATCCCTGGAAGTGTCCAAGGCCAGGTTGGAGCAACCTGGGCTAGTGAAAGGTGTCCCTGCCCATGGCAGGGCATGGAATGAGAGGATCTCTAAGGTCCCTTCCAACCCAAACCATTCCATGATTCCATGATTCAAGATCTAAGGGCATAGGTGCTTTTCTCTGTTACCTCTTTGAGCTTTGGGCATCCCCCTGCAAACACTGCTCTCCCTCTGGGTTCAGGATATTCCTGGAGGTGTCCATATTTCATTTCCTCTGGTTGCCCTCTGCTCTGCTTCGTGGAGCAAAGCAAAGACAAGCTGCAGAGCTTTGCTGAGGTGCCTGAACGTGGCCCTTTCCCAAGGAAATGTCTGCCTTTCCCAAGGAACGTGGCCCTTTCCCAACCGGCGGAGAGGGGGAGAGAGAGAGAGCACATCTCCCAAGGCAACATCAGAACGAGCTGTCACTCAGGGTAAATTGTGCAGATCTTCATAACATCATCTTCCTTCAGCAGTCCTATGTGCTTTGATGTGTGGTGAAATAATTAATACTTTAAATGTCAGCACTGCTACCGTCGGGTGTCGGAGCCGGTCCCCGTTGAGCTGAGCTGGGCTGAGCTGCTGAGCAGGTTTTGCAGCTCCAGACAGGTGTCATGGCAGCAGTTGCTCAGCTGGGAGGATTTATTTTTCCTCCAGTTCCAGCGAGTCACAGTGTATTTAAAAGGAAAGCGTGGCTTTTGGAGGGCTGGGGGTGACGTAAAAGGGGAAGCAGTGCCCATAATCCATTGGAGCCTCAAATAAATAAAGTCAGTCTGGGGCACGTTTAGACCTCTCCCTAGTGCTGACCTTAACAAACCTGGGGTTAAACAGTAGTTCTAGAGTGAGGTCCGTGGGCTCACTGACAGTTTAGTTTATTCACTAGGTGGCTGCTCTTTTTTGCATACATTAGATTGTGGCATGCCCAATTTTTTAAACCATGTTCTGGGAAGTTCAAGAGAACTCCTCGAGCCTGAAATGCTGGATATGAGGGTTGCCAAAGGGATTTTTGCTGGGCCTGAATCAGTTTTCTGGGGGGTTTAATTTCAGCTGTCTGTTTTCCAGGGCATAATGAACAGCCTGCTTGTGTGTCAGACCCCTTCATGGTCCCTGAACCCAGGAACCCAAAAGCACTGGGACATAATTTTGGCATATTTCTGTCTAATACACAGATAAATCCCTACTGATCCAGCAGCTCTTTTCTCAGTGGAAGTGGCATTGTGGGGGAGCTGTTTAAACTTGCTGGTGGATTCTATAGCAAGGTGTCATTCACTCCCATAAATGCTGCTTTTTAGCAGGATTTCACGACAGAGATATTTTTGTTTCATTAATGAGTGAAACTAGTAGCAGGCAACTTGGTTGCAGGCTGTACAGAAAAGCTTTGTGCTGAAAGACATAATATATACATTGATTCAGAAGGGCTGAGTTCTTAGAACAATTCAGCACTGTCGAGAAATGATTTGCTTCTGTTTATCCATCAGGATGAAAATCTCCACGCCAATCCATTGGAAAAATGTTGGTTGAACAATGGCCAATTTCTTCTTCCCAAATTTAGCATTTTGCCTATTCCCATTAGCTATTTTTAGTGAACTATGTACATAGATATATGTTTGGATTCCTATATGTTTCATATTTCTTTTGCTGAAGATACATAACTCAGCTGATTAGATTGGTAATCAAGAAGGGAAATGGCACAAAATGATGTACAGGCTCTTGGGAGAACTGGCCTATAATTCTCAGGATTATTGGCAAAATAACCCACCCCCCCCAAAAAAACCCCTCTTCCCAAATGGGATGTAGATTCTGTGGCAGTTGAAATGTGTATTATTAAACTCCTTAAGCAAACCAGAATGGCTCCCAGTGGAGAGCAAAGACATTCTAAGTATAGCCAAGACTAAATTCTCAGGTCTGGGTTTTCTCTACTCAATTCCCACTTGATTATCTCCTGTAATATTTAAACTTCATGCCATGCCATAATTATTTAATAAAAAGTAAATATAAAATGTATCTCAGTGGGGAATATGACCTTTTACCTTCATGTTGTTATACCAGAGACAGACCCAGGCAAACAGAGAGCCTGGATCAGTGGAATAGTCTGTCTCACTTGATAGTTTCATCCTCCTGGTGCCTCAGATGGTTCTCCTGGAAGGAGCTGAGGATATTTTGGAAGATTCAATAAGTGCCACCAGCATCTCTTGCAATCAGGGGGTTTTCAGCTGTGCCAGAGTCACCACTCATTTAAAAAAACCAAAAAAGCTATTTTTTTCCCAAAAGAATCACAAATGGTGCGAGAGGATCGAATCCAGCACCGAATGAGGGCAGTGCTGAAGGACTTGCACGTGTTACTTATTAAATGTGTCACGAAACTCCGAGCAGGATGCTCAGCATGAATGTGGGGTTTGTGTTCCAAGGCACACGCTGAAGGACAAGGGAATCCCAAGGAAAACATCCCCGGGGCTGTGCCGGTGCCCACTGCTCGTGCTGATGTGCCAGAGGCAGGCAAGGCTGACTTTTGGGGTCTGCACCCGTGGAAATTGGAGTCTCCTCCTGAACAAGCAGAAATGGGATCCTTATTTCCCAATTACAAACACAATTTGGCTGTGAAAGCACGGGAAGCTTTTGGGATCGTCAGAGGGCTCTGCCAGCTCTTGCTGACTAAAGATCTGGGTCAAAACCTCCTGGTTTATCCACCAGAGATTCCCATCGTTCCAGGGAAGTGGGGATGTTTGCAGAACACAACTGGAGAGCTGAACGTGCCTAACGAAGAGCTGTGCCCTACTTTGGGGCTGCAGAACGTCGGGGGCGTGGGTGGGATGTGTTTATTGAAAAAGCAAATATCACACTCTGATTTCTGCCTCCACAACCAACAGCACGAGACCTGCTCTAATTTATGTTTGTCCCATAATTTGCTTTATTCCTGCCATGGTCAGTTTGTCCAGAGCAAACATGTTCACCTTGAAAAGAGGTATTTTGTGCTGGTGCTGCTGTGTCTCCCAAATTATTCTTTCAGCCTTTGGTAGGTGGTGAGAAGTCAGAACTGGAGCAGTTTTAAGTGCAGAAGTCAGGATTTCTTTGTTCCCTTATTGAGATAGAGCCATACAAATATAT